AGAGTTAACAATTAGAAAACAGGATGGAAAAATGGAGGAAAAAAATTTGCAACATGACCACACCCCAATGAAGGGTGCTTTCTTTCTCTCTCTTTCTCTCTCTCTCTGGTAAGCACATATACCCTTGGCAATGTTAAAAAAAAAAAAAAAAGTTCATAGACATACTGATTTAAATCACAAGTTCATTTTGGTGTAAAATTTTTTTGAAATCCATGCATTGGTTTTTCATAATATGCGTTTTTCCATGAGCTTTCAAAGGCTTCCTTGTATACTTTTACCCCTTTATTCTTTATGTGGTGAATTCCACATTAATAGTTTCACTAAATAATTTCCTAATGACAAACCAACCTTGACCTTATGTAGTTATGATGAATTAACCTTGGAAATATTTGTGGGGTTGATTGCTAATTTTTAGAGAATTTTTACATATGTATTTATGATAGATTAGTTTGTTGTAGTGTTATTTTTTCTATATTGTGCTTATTAGTTTCATTTTAAAATATGTTAGAAAGGATTTTCTACTCTGTTCTGAGTTTATATAAGTTTAATTCTTACTTACATATTTGATAGATTTTACCAGAGAAAATATCTCTTAAGAGAAGGATTTTTTAAATTGAGGATTATTTAGATCTTCAACTTTTTGTGTTTGGTAACTTGTATTTTGTAAGAAATGTGTTGATTTCATCTTAAGTTGTAGAATTTATTGCTATGAAGTTATTTCTAATGTTTGTTTCTCCCTTAATGTCTGTCAGATCTGTGTGTTAAATGTCCCATGTATGTAAGATCTATATCTAGCGTTTATGTTAGGATTTATAATATTGAGAATTTGCCTTTTCTTTCTTTTTTTTTCTTGGTAAGTCTTACAAGAGATTTATCAGTTAACAGTTCCAAATAACCAATTTTTATCTTAATTTTTTATTGTCTTTCTCTTATGAGAGGTCTTCACAAAGTTCATGGAAAATAAGTAGTAGGAAGAAACTACGTGGATTTAGTTTTAATCCTATTTTTTTCATTTTATTTCCTTCTATTAATTTGCTATTGTTCTTCATTACTTTCTTTTGTTAACTTTGATTTAATTTACTCCTCTTTCTTGCTTCCTGTATATATTTAAATCATTCTTAATGTAAGCGTTTAAAACTTTAAATTTTTCTCTAGCCCTTATTTTAGCTCCATTTTCATACTTTTTAATTATCATTTAATTATTTTCTAATTTCTGTTCTTTGATTTATGAGTTATTTAGGTCTTGGTTATTTTTGTTTGTTTTAGAGGCTTTTATTATGTTTTGTTTTTGTTTTTTCAAGAAGCTTGGTTATTTTCTACATACTTTATTGATTTCTAATCTAATTCCATTGTGGTCCAAAATATACTATGTATAACTTTCAGTCCTTTGAAACTCATTTTATGTTGCAATGTGACTTATCTGAATGAGAATTTTGTGTAGTTGGAAAGAATGTGTATTCTGCAGTTACAATACTCTTGGAATGTCATTTAGGTCAGAGAGGTTGATGGTGTTTAAATCTTAATATTTTCTGATTTTTTATATATTCTGTCAGTCATGGAGAGGGGTAAGATCTCCAACTCTGACTTCGAATTTGTCTGTTTCTGCCTTTAGGCCTGTTGAGTTTTCCAGACATTTGCACCCTACACACACACAGAGACAGCGAGACAGAGAGAGAGACAGAGAGGAGGAAGGAGAACCCCGTAATGGTGCATAGTCCTGCCAAACCCTTTTCCCTCCATTTCTTCATCCCATCAGGATTTCGGGCGCGCGTGCACACACACACACACACACACACACACACACACACACACCTGGCTTAACTGCTGCAGTATTGAAGCCAACTTATTGCCTTGTGTATTTTTAATGTCTGTTATTAGAGGGTATACACTAGAACATTAGAAATAAAATATCTTCCTGACGAATTGACCCTAATGATAAAATGTCTCATAATAACATCACCATTTATTCTTCCTTGTCTCAGTATCTTTTTCATCTGCTTACTTTCAGTCTATCTGCATCTTTTATTTAAGGTATGTTTCTTGTGGCTAGCATTTGCATTTTATTAAGATTTGTCTTTTGGAAAATTTAATTAGTTTATATTTAAAGTAATTATTGCTATCATTGCATTTAGGATATCATTTTGCTATTTCTTTCCTAATTGTCCTGGCTTTTGTTCCTCCGTTTTTTGTTTCCCTGTCTTTTGGACTAACTAATATCTATTTTATTGTTTTTACTCTGTCTTTTTTAGTATTAGCTGTGTTATTTACCCAGTCAGCATTCTAGTGATCACATTGTACTTACCACCTTTTACCTGAAAGTTTAAGTTACATTTTATAGCATCATGTAAATATAAGAACTTTACAGCACTGTAATTTCATCCACACGTGTTCGTACTATAGTTTTCATGTATTGTGCTAAATAAATATGTATAAACTCCAAAACACAGTCATTTTTTTTACTTTATATTGTTTAAGAAAAAATTTAAAGGAGATAATGTAATGTTTTATATTTATGTACATACTCATCATTTCTGTTCTTTACTCCTGCTCTTCATATCTTTCTTGCAGACATTTTTGTTGTTGTTCCAGTTGTTTTAGCACTGTTTCTTGAAGAGACTTTCTTTGCTCCATCAATTTACCTTGGCTCCTTTGTTGAAAATGAAGTGATAGTTTATATGTAGATCTGACTTTTGGTTTACTGTTAAGCCAATTAAATGAATTCTTCTTTTCAGATAGTCTTCTTTTCAGTTTTTACAGTTTCCATGTTAAAGTCTGATCGTTTTGATGTCTGGGTAATAAATAGATCTGCTTTTGTTAGCTGTTTTATCTCTTGATTATGAGTCAGTTTTGGATACTGGATATTATGTATAAAATAATGTTTTGTTTTTTAATTTCACATTTCTATTGTTATTCTATATCAAGTGAAAGTTAAATAGTATTCTGCAGATAAAATTATAATGTCACATTGTGAACAGCAAATGGATATACATCATAACAAATTTAAAAGCTGGGAACCAGCAGTTAGCGTAATGGCTATGTCGCTGGACTCCCACATAGTCAACCGTGGTTCGTGTCTCAGACCCGGTGGCTTAGAACTCACGCCGGGCACGTGTGCGTGCGTGCCCAAGATCCCGAGAGGAGAATGGAGGAGAAGAGATTGCGGCGTGACCATCCCCCGCCGGGGGATGATTTCTCGCTTTTTGTCTCTGTGTCTCTCTCTGTCTGGTGAGCGCATGCGCCCTATAGCGAAAACCTCTCAAAAAAAAAAAGAAAAAAAAATTAACAACTCAATTCAGATAAAACAGGAGTTTAAATGTTGCAAATGGTTCAGATTTACCAAAAATTACAAGGGCAACACTATAATAAACCTCTTAGAACATGGCTAGAAATGCACATGTATGATGTCAGATTTTAGTGAATGTTTGCGAATACTATGTTAGATCTCCTCGGACTGGTTGAAATGAGGGCTTTTGACTTACGTTTCATGAAATACATTACGATTGATGATTAGATGGGATTAAGGTGTTGAAGGAGGAACCCATCATGGTTCATAGTTTTCTGGAAGGTTGTGAACACCTTGGTTTTTATTCAGTAAGTTGTTTTTTTAAAGAGTACTTTTTTGGTTTTATTTAAAGTTACAATGTGATTTTTTTTTTTAAGAATTATTTTATTTAACTGATTTATTTATTTATTTAAATTTGACCAGAGAAAGACAGGGAGCAGGGGGGAGTGAGAAAGCAATCCACCAAGTCCAGGATTCAAACCATGGTCGGCCATGTGGGAGTCCAGCACCCTCAACCACCACGTCACCTGCTGGCCCTCAATATGATTTTTAAAAATTGGTTAATGAGCGAAAAACAGCATTGCGTAAGAGAACAGGAGGGATCAGGTGAGAAATAGGCATCTTTGATAGATTTTGATTTAAAAATCCTCTACTGCAGCCTCCCAGTTAGCTAGGACTGCAGATGCATGTCCAGTACATTCTCGTTGGTCTGCGATCTATACCCAGGTTTTCCATGGAGCTCCAGTCTCTCACAGAAGCACACTACCCCCTGTGCCACCATGACTGGGCTATGATTTAGATGTACATCGTGATATGATTTCCCATAGTCAAGCAAATTAACCATCTTCTCACATAATTGCAAACTCTGTGTGTGTGTGTATTATAAGCACCTAAAATCGACTCTGTTTCCAGTATGTGATGTAATTCTGTAATCAGTGCCCATGTTCTCCATTCACTCTCACGCATTCATCTTATATATCTGCTGTTTGTACCTTTGACCTACATCTCTCTCTGCTCCCTTTACTCACCATTTCATTTCTCTGTATTTGCCCTTTTTTCATATTTCATACAGGATATCATGCAATATTTTTCTTTTTGTATTTGCCTCGTTTCACTTAACTTCCTGTCTTCCAGCTTTACCGAGGTTGTCACAAGTGACAGGATCTCATTTTTAAGTTTGTATAACATTCAAATAAAAGCAGCAAGAGGAAAGCAATACCTCACATCCAAGGGAAATTTAATTTGACTGCTAGATTTCTCAGCAGAAACCTGTAGGTCAGGAGAGAATGGAATGATATATAGTCCAAGTTTTGAAGAAAAAAAATCCAACTAAGAAAACTATATCCAACAAAACTGTCCTTAAGAAATGAAGGAAAGGGCCAGCCAGTGTGGCATGGTTGAGGTGGTTGGGTCCCACATGGCTAGCTGCACAGTTCTAGTCCCGGACCCAGCTGCTTGAAAAACACACAAGCTGAGGGAGTTCTTTACCATTGGACCTATCTTTAAAAACATGCAAAAGAGGGGCCAGCAGATAACGTGGTTAAGGTGCTGGACTCCCACATGGCTGACCACAGTTCGAATCCTGGACCTGGCGATTTAAAACTCACACCAGGCACGTTTACATGTATGGCCAAAATCCCAAGAGTAGAAGAGATTGCAGCATGGCCATCTCCCCGGGGGATGATTTCTCACTTTCTTTCCCCTTCTTCCCCCGCACTCTGCAAGTGCATGCATCCTATAGCAAAAATCTCCCAAAAAATACTAAAGAAAGTTCTTTTTTGTTCATTTACCAGATAGTGTATACACTCGCCAGAGTGAAAAAACGCTAACACCAACCCCCTCTCCCCCTCCCAGTAAGGTTGCGGTGCTGTGACCCTCCATTTCTCTGTTAGGATTTTTGGTGCGCGTGTGCGTGTATGCACACACACACACTCCTAGTATGTTTTCAACCACCAGGGCCTGGGTTCAAAAGCATCTAGCCATGAGGGATCTGACTTCCTTAGCCAAAGCCAGCCCAGAAGTTTTTCAGATGGAAACAAAAAGATTTTAATTACTAACACACAAACCTCTGAGAGTATGAAAGTCAAGAAGGTGGATATATCAGACTTAGAATGATCTAGTACTGTATTGGTAGATCTGTAAACCACTTATATCTCTAAACAAAGTTTAAAAGACAAAAATAACTGTAGCAAAAAAAAAATAACTGTAGCTACAGTAATTGGTTGAGATACACACTGTAAAAGATGTAAATTGTACATCAAAACCAAAATACATGTGGAGAGTTGAGTACAGTTTTCAATGCAATCCAAGTTAAGTTGTTATCAGCTTGAATATGAATGCAATCAAAGTTAAGTTGTTATATGTTTGAATAAAGTGTTTTTTAAGAGAGATTTTTAGTTTAGGGAGTGTATGTTTGCCAGAGACAGAGAAAGTAATGGCCACACCAAAGTAACTTCTCCTCCATTGTCCTTGAGAATTTGGGCACGCATGCACATACATGAGTTCCCGTGAGTTCTGAGCCTCCAGGTTTGAGACTCTGACCTGGTCGACCATGTGGGAGTCCAGCACCTTAACACTATGCTATCTTCTGGCCCCACTATAAGGTATTTTATATTAGCCTCAAGATAATTACGAAGCAGAAACATAGAGTAGATACACCAAAGATAGATAAGGATTAAAGTAAATGAAAACCACAATGAAATCTCACTGCATATCTACTAGAATAGCAAAATCCAAAATAATGACATTATCTAATGCTGGTTAGGGGTGGAATAATTCAGAACTGTAACTTGTTATTGGGAACGTGAAGCAGTAACAGCCACTTTTGAGGACAAGTTTGATGATTTCCTACAAAACTTACTCTTTCTTACAAAACTTACTCCCATCATATTTTTCACTGGTCTTGTTCGTTGGTGTTTACTCAAGTGAATTGAAATCTTAGGTCTGCACAAAAACAGGCACACAAATGTTGACAACAGTTTTACTCAAATTGCCAGAACTTGGAAGCAACCACCATGCCTTTAATAGGTGAATAGATAAACAGTGGTATATCCGGGCAATGGAATGTTACTCTTTGTTAAAAAGAAATGTGCTATCAAGCCATGAAAAGTCCCTAGATGCCTATCTTTAATTGAAAGAAGCTGATCTGAAGAGGCTGCATACCATATGATTTCAATTATATGACATTCTAGAAAAGGCAGAACTGTAGAATTAGAAAAAGCTCAGTGATGGCCTGGGTTTACGGGAAGGGAGGGGTAACTAGGTGGGACACAGGGCATTTTTTAGGACAAGGAAACTGTTCTATATGAAACTACAGATAGTGGACACGTGTTGTACTGCGATCCTCTTTCCTCGGTTGCTATCTCCTTAGTGTCCTGGCCCTCCATAGGCACACCAAGGATGTTTTCAAGGCACTTGTGTCACCTCTGTGAATAGGCCCCTTTCGTCACTTCTGATAAGTATTTAATATACGAATAAGCAGTAAAATGATGTCAGTAATCGGACAGTTTCCTCCATTTCTGTTAGTGGCTTTGTTAACTTTATATTTGCATCAGGAAACCAGTGAATTTTAGTTCATTGTTCTAAATATATTTTGACCTTTCTTAGTTGTACCTGTTGTGACTTGCCAATAGAATTTTCAAACTGAGGAACCAAAAAGGAATGTAACTAAACTGTGTAATAGAAGACTGTCCTATCTTCAAAAAGCGACCACCCATTCTTATTTCTGATTGACGTTTGTCTAGGGATGCTCTCTCACCTCGGTTGCCTGCCGTTTTCTGTCTTGGTTATGGTGGTGGGTGGTGGGAGGATCCTGTGAGCTCTTATTCTGCATCCATGCCATTGGGCGCACTTGCAGCTGGGAGCAGTAGGTATGCCCTTATAGGTAACTTTTCCTAGATGCGTAGAAATGATGATCATAAAATAAAATGAATCTTATAGTTCCAATCATCATAAGATTACTCGGTGCCATTTACAACAAATACGTTTTAAAATTTAGTTGTATAGTGCTAGTAGGTGACATGGTGGCTAAAGCGCTGGACTCTCTCATGGTTGCAGTTCACGTTCCAGACCTGGTGGTTTACTTTCTCACTGCCCCCTCCCCCCTCTGGTGAGCATGTGTGCCCTACGTAAACTTTAAAATAAATGAGTAAAGTTGTAGAGCATTGGCTGAAGTAGTCTCAGTGATTTTTTTCTCCTGTTCTCTGGTTCTTCATTCTTTTCCTTACTTGTGTATTTGTCCTGTCTGCCCCTACTGTTCGTATTAGATTTAACCTGTTTACTTAAAACTGGAAAAATCAGATAATTTTCTTCCTTTTTTTTCTTTTCCTAAAGGGTATGTATGCTTACCAGAGAGAGAGAGAGGAGAAAACACCCTCCATGGGGAATGATCACCACAGTCCCTCCTCCTCCTCTCCCTCCTTTTGGGATTGTGGGCACGCTTGCACACATGCCTGGTATGTTTCTCAGGTCAACTAGGTCTAGGACTGAACCACGTAGTTCTCCATGTGGTATATACTGTCTTAACCACCAAGCCATGGAGCCAGCCCCGAAAAGATATAATTTACCAAATTTAATACCAGAAAACAGTTGTCTTTTTGTTTTGTTTCGTTTTTGTTTTTGCTGTAGAAGACACTTGTGCTCGCTGGAGAGAGAGAAAGTGAGAAAGCAATTCCTGAGGGAATAGTCACACTACAATCTTCTCCTCCATTCTCTTGGCATTTTGGATATGCACACACACAACCCATTGTGATTTTCAAGCCACTAGGTCTGGGACTCAAGCCGTGGTTGGCCATGTGGGAATCCAGTACCTTAACCACCACACCACCTTCTAGCCCACACTATTATTAGTAGTATTGATCAGGCCAGTATTGGTTGAGACTGTTAATGCAAAAATCCTAAATAAGTCATTTTATTTTCTATGGCCTCAATGCCAGTGACATGCTTAATAGGAAAATACTAGAAGAATACTATAATGTCAGGAGGTAGACAAGAATATTTCTATCACCACTACTGTTCAAAGTGTGACTTCCCCAAAATGTTTGATAAATTATATCGTGTAAAAGCTTTTTCAAAATGGCATGTTCATGAGAACCAGCAGTTAGCGTAATGGCTATGTCGCTGGACTCCCACGTAGTCAACCATGGTTCGCGTCCCGGACCCGGTGGCTTAAAACTCACGCCAGGTGCGTATGCGTGTGTGCCCAAAATCCCGAGAGGAGAATGGAGGAGAAGGGATTGCAGTGTGACCATCCCCTCTGGGGAGTGATTTCTCGCTTTCTGTCTCTATGTCTCTCTCTGTCTGGCGAGTGCACACGCCCTATAGTGAAACCCTCTCCAAAAAAAAAAAATTGCATGTTCAAAATTAGGATTAAGAGTCATAAAGCAGATAACCAAATTATTTGTAACCCATACTATGAAAGAGTTCATATCCCTAATACTAAAGAGTCGTCTACAAATAAGAAAAGTGATCAGTACAACAGAGAAATAAGCAAAAGAACATAATAGTCTCATAAGAGAAATACAGTGTTAGCAAATATATAACTGTTTAATGTCATTTATATGAGAAATGCAAATTAAAACAGACCTGAGACTCTCTCTTCACTCTTAAGTAGTATTTTATGCTGTGACTGGGATGTAAACCGTTACAACTTCCGTGAATGATACTTAAGCAAAGTATCAAAATGACAAATGTAGGGCCAGTGTGGCAGTTAAGTACTGTGCATTGGGAGCTTGATCTCAATGGCTCACTGCAGTTCGAGTTCTACCCGGCAGCTCGAAAAACATGTCAAGCATGTGTGTGCACATGTGCATATTCCAAATCCTTATGGGATGGAAAAGTGGAGGAAAAAAGGATGGTGGTGGGACCACCCCATGGAGCAGGGATTCTCTGGCTAGCACACATACCCCCTGGCTTTAAGAAAAGAAAAAAGAAAAAAACTAATGATGAAGGCATGAATCTTTTTATCTGGCATTTTCTCTTTTAAGAGTTTATCTTTCAGGTATGATTGGAAGTATGCAGAATACGCAAGATAAGTTATTGCAATCTTGGTTTTTAAAGGAAAAGACCAAAAATAGCCTGAATCAAAATGGGATCATAATGAACCATGATGTGATGTTAAATGGACAGGCAGATAGGCAGGTAAGTAGGACTATAGAGAGGCAGATAAGCAGTAAACATCACACGGAAATCTCTAGTAGGATAAGTAGGGGAGAGATTCAGAACTGTGTTACCATTCATATATGAAAAGGGGAGCATAGAATAAAAAGATGTTTCTTTATGTGGTTCATTAAATATTCCTGGAGAGATGCAAGAAAACTGTTGACTTTAGATGCCTTTGGTAAGGAACTGGGTGGCTAGAAGAAGCCAAGAATGCTTGTTCCTTTTGTGCCTTTTTTTAATATTCAGACTTTCCAAATTAAAATAACACAGTTTTACATTGAATTCTTGGGATTTAAATTATCTGATAATAACCAGATAAAACCAGTTCTGTTATTACTTCATCAGAAGTTCTGGAAATACTTCCACCTCTGTTTTAACATTGAATCCTTTTATTTTAGGATCTCCGGCAGAACTGTCGCCCACTACTCTGTCCCCAGTTAATCATAGCTTGGGTAAGTTGCAGATACATTCCCCACCATTTTTATACTATACCGCCAATTAATAGAAGCCCTCTCTGAAAATTATTCTTCAGATATATAAGAAAGAGATCCCAATAAATAAATAATTATGCAAGTGTTTTAAATTATTACTTTTTAAAATAGATATAGCATGCCTCAGTATTACTTGAAGTCTTTTTTGCTGGCGTATGTGAGTAAGAAATTAATAATCTTTTATTCACTGAAATTACATTCTTTATTCATAGTTTTTATTTCTATTTATGGCTAGAATTTTATGGCTCTGTTCATGATATGTCTTTTAACCCTATTTAATATAAAAGGCATTCGAATATATATATATATATGTATATATACAGTTACATAAAAATAAATATGGTACGGGGAATATATATATATGTGAGAGAATGAATATGTATAGATACACATACACAGTGGTCTTCAAAAGGTTCATGGAAAATGTGCATTTCGAAAACACTGCACAGATTTAAAAATTTTGTGCACCAAAATAAACTTCTACTTTCATTCTATTTTCTCCGTAAAATTTTTGAATTATCCGCATTTCAAAATACTGGATAGTCCTTCATGGAAGTGTTAAAGTGTGTGTGCCATAGTTTACCTTTGACCCTCGTTTTACTTTGCTATGTCACAATTCTTTAGTTTCTACACATTTGGGATTTATTCTATAAAATTGTCAGGTTTTTTTCTTTCATAGTATTCTTTATATATTTTAGCAAAGATAATGGAAGTTAAGTGCATATGATCCTATTCTTCCTGTGAAATAAGTAGTCTTGGCTTCATATTCTTTTTTCCTTTTGTATCTATCTTGTGTTTTATTATTTTCTAGTTCTTGTGTGTGTGTATGTGTGTATATAACCTATATAACACATGTGTGTTATCATGTACACACACACGTGTATACATACACACACACACACACACACACGAGTTACCACTTCTGTGACTAGAATAACTCATTGAGAATCCCATGTTGAAATAGACAACTGTCAAAGATTCATTACATTTTCTGTCCTTTCATTGTGACAGTTTTTCTTCTGTGACTTTTAACTCATTAATTTTTGCTCCAGCATTACTCTACTTTGTCTTACCAAAAATTAGTTGTACTAAGCATTTTAGAAATGCACAAGTTCGGCAGATTGACTTACTTTTCCTATGATTGTTTTCTGTTTGAACAGGAACTAGACTAAAACTGCTGGTAAAATAATCCAACATAAAGTGAATGAGTTGGGGGAAATTTCAGAAATCGAAAATTGGGTATGAGCTGTTGTGCCTGGAGTTTTATATGGAAAGTAATGAAAATCTATAATCATGGAATCAAGACGAGGTTGTGTCTGCTTCCTGAGCTGTTGCCAGTGCAGGCTGTTACAGAGCACGTGTAGAGACTGACATTCAGCCTGTTTTTGATTTGAAGTGTTCACACAGCATTTCTTTCATTTTTGCTTTGTTTTTCCAGATTTGCAGCCAGTTACTTACTCAGAACCTGCATTTTGGTGTTCAATAGCATATTATGAATTAAACCAGAGGGTTGGAGAGACCTTCCATGCATCCCAACCCTCACTCACTGTAGATGGCTTTACAGATCCATCAAATTCAGAGAGGTTCTGCTTAGGTTTACTCTCCAACGTTAACCGGAATGCTACAGTAGAAATGACAAGGAGGCATATAGGTAGGTTTTGTTTTCCTTGTGTGCAAAACAGATTCCATATACCTGTCATGGGGCACACTGCGACACTTCAAGAGCCTGCGTGTAAAACCCACCTTTTCTCATCTCTAAATGGGAGCACGTTGACATTCATGGGCTACATGGCTTTTAGTAGATCAGGAAATTCTTCAATCTGCAAGCTCTTGTCTTTGACTTAACTCTTTATTTGACATACTTGATATGAGAAAGTCAATAAACATGTTAAAATAACTGTAATTTGCCAAGTCTCTATTGTTCATAAAGTTACTGTGTTCAGATTGGGGGGGGTTATACATTTTTCAGATTGTGTGTTTTCTTCAGTTTGTTAATATTTCCCGATTTGTTTCTTTCCTCAGTAAGTTCCTATATTAATAAAATCTGCTCACTATTAATCTGAGAAAAGATATATAATGCAGGAACTACTATTTCATATGCAGTCACTTGTCACGTAACAGTCACTTTGGTCGGTGATGGGTCACATACCTATACATGGTGAACCAGTAGGCTATGCCATAGAGCCTGGGTGTTGGGTGTGTAGCAGACTACACCATCCAGGTGTGTGTAAGTACTGTGATATTCGCACAGTAAAGAGATTGCCTAGCAGTGTCTTTCTCAGAATGTGTCCTAGTCATTAAGCTGTGCATGATTATAGTTGAAAATGGAATCCATACAGTCTTAGAGAGTTAGTCTGGGGACCTGTGGTACCCCCAGAAACCCTTTCCAGCAAGTTTATATGGTCAAAACTATTTTCATAATGGTACTAAGATGCTATTTGCCATTTTTATTCTCACTCAGTCATGAAGATACAGTAGAATATTCTGGAGACTACATGGCATGTGATTTCTCAAGTGATCAAATGTAGAACTGATAAGAAAATCCACCTTTCTCTTCTGTTATGCCAGCTATTAAACAGATTTGTAAAAATGTGAAATAATTGCCACTTTGCTCACTAATTATTTTTACTTTGGAAATATATTTCATATTCATGTTAATATATAATTGATTTGTTATTTTGAGTTTTTAATTGCTAGAGGGAGAAAGCACTGCTTCCCTCTGTGGTGTAGTCACGCCGCAGTCCCTTCTCCATTTCTCCATCCTGTCAGGATTTGGAGCTTAACACACACAATACTTGGCATGTTTTTCAGTCTGCAGGAACTGCGACTCAAACTCCAGTCTATCGTGTGGAATCTGGCTCTCTTAAACACTATGCTTTGGGGCCAGCCCTACCAAAGAGTGATTTTGAGAATGCAAAATGATAGTGCTTAGGTCTGTAACTTGGCTCCATGTGTAAGATTCCTAAGTGTTGTCATAGATGAGGAAGGGCTCTGGATATCCACTCGTACTTTAACCAAAGTAGTTTTTTCTTTGTTTTTATGTGTTGATTGAGATTCTTCATAAAAATTTAACAGGGACGCTAACAGGCGGTGTAGTAGTTAATGCTCTGGACTTCCACATGGCCAGCTGTGGCTCGAGTCCTGGATCCAATGGTTTGAAACTCACAGTGGGCATAAAAGATCCCAGTAGCAGAACAGAGGAGAAGGGATTGTGGTGTAGCCATCCTCTCGGGGAGATGATGATTTCTCACTTTCCTTCTCACGGTCTCTGTCTCTCTCTCTCTGCTTTTCCAGTTAGCACACATACCCTAAGGCAAAAACATCTAAACAAAAATTCTCTTAACAGATTTTTCTCTGTCCTATTCACTTCTCTCTACAAAGTTTTATTATTAATTGCCATGATTATTAGATCACCTTTTAACTTTTGATTTCTAGTTTCGTAAGTGATTTGATTGGAAAATATGGCCTGAATAGGCCAGTATATAACTAATTATTTTACAGTTATTCCATTGCCTTTAACAAATAGGGTACCAGGTCATGCATTTATGTATCAAATCTTGCTTGTTGGCTCTTAAAAAGATTTTATGTAGGTGGTTAGTCACCCCTTGAGACAGAAGAGTCCCACAGCAAGGTCTTGACACCACAGTTCACCCCACCTTCAGCGAGTCCTGGGTCCTGGGCACATCCGTGTCAGTATACAGGATAGTCCCCAGATACAAGCCTGGGACCCTGCCATGTGGGTCTACCTCACAGAGTGCCACATTTACCTCTGTGCCACTGTCGGGCCTATGGCTGTTCTTTACTTATTTTAAGCTTATTTAGTTCTTCAGAGAGGGAGAGAGAACTGCCCAACAGGGTCTCCAGGCGGTGATTTCACTCCCTAGACCTGCCTGGATTGCTAGTTCTGGGCACACACAGGAAAATCCCAGGGTACGAGTGCCACCTTCCTGCATGGGTTAGCCTCGCAGAGTGTTGCGTCTCCTATAGGTTGCTTCATTTGTTTTCTTCTGCCGCATCACAAGTTACCCACACCAAGTGGCCTAACACAGTGCAAATCGATTGTCTCACGGTCTCTGTGAGTCAGTAGGCTGGGCATCAAGTATCTGCCAGGGCTGAAATCAAGATGTCTGCTGGGCTGTATTCACATCTGGAACTCCAGATGCTCTCACAAACTCGCATGATTGTGGCAGAATTCAGTTCCTCGCAGTTGTAGCGCCAAGGTCCTCTTGTCCTTGCTGTTGGCCACAGGCCGCCCTAAGTTTCTGGGTGCCAGTCATGTGGTTGTCATGTGGCCTCTTCCATCTTTAAAGCCACCAATGGGAGATGTTTTCCCTGTTGAATTCCTCTCAAGCCATAAATCACTTTAGCGCAGGACAGTCCACACCCTTTGAAAAGATTGAGTCAAGCCCACCTACCACAGGTGATATCCCTGTCTTAAGGTCAGCTCATTTGTTGCCTTCATTACATTTGCATCTGAGCAGTCCTCTCACAGCAAGTCCTCTACTAGCCAAGGTGTGTGCATACCAAGGCCGATTCTTAGCACTCTGCCTCTCATAGTGTTTTCTTTTTTTGGTTTGTTTTTAAACATTCATCTATCTATCTATCATCTATCTATCATCTATCTATCTATCTATCTATTTATTTGTTATGCTTTTCAAGCTGATGGTTCTCGACTTGAACCTTAGTCAGCCATGTAGAAATCCAGCACCTTAACCACCACACCACCTCCTGGCTCTCACAGTGTTTTTGTTTTTTTTTGTTTTTTTTTTTAAGAATAATTTTTGTTTAACTTTATTTATTTATTTTTAATTTGACTAGAAAGGGACAAAGTGAGAGTGAGTGAATGAGAATGCCATCAGGTCCAAGACTTGAACCATGGTCATCCACGTGGGAGTCTAGCACTCTAACCACAACTCCACCTGCCAGGCCCTGCAGTGGTTTTTGAAAACCTTTGTATAAAATACTTATTGTGGCTTTAATTTGTTGGATTCTGAAAGAAATCTCCCAGTATAATTTTTCTTCTCTAGTTCTGCTTATGTGTCTAAAGATTTAATTGCCACTGTAATAGATAGTTTTGAATAGGGTAGATGACTCTTACATTCTCTTTTATCTTAATCATAGTGGGCTCTTTAAAAAAAGACTGTTGTTACTTAAGATCTGTGTATCCAAATAGCAGTTAATTCCTTTCAAATTAACTCAATTTTTTTAACTTATTTTAAAATAATATGTAACTTGTATGAAACCATTTTACTACTCAAGTACCTTTCTGCATTATATAAGTAACTTTGAATGCACATGTATTACTTTTAAAAGATCAATAAAATCATTGTTAAAAAGTACTTGGAGAAATATATTGGTAAATTTCAGAGTTAGACTTCAGAAAAGCATGGCTGTGGAAAAAACATCATGGAAGTACCTTACATCATTTTAGAATTTCTCTAAGAAGACTCTTCCGAAGTCACACTGAAATAGTATCTGTTATAAAACTAACCCCGTATGTATTTTGTTTTAGGAAGAGGAGTACGCTTATATTACATAGGTGGGGAAGTTTTTGCTGAGTGCCTAAGTGATAGTGCAATCTTTGTGCAGAGCCCCAATTGTAATCAGAGATACGGCTGGCACCCTGCAACAGTGTGTAAAATTCCACCAGGTATGGATTCAACAATGTAAATAAACCTGTCATCCAGCTTGCTTAGTTTTTCTAGTTGCTAATAATTTTCGGAATCAGGAGATTATTTGCATGCTCATATGCTAAAATACAAAGCCCTTTAAAAATTATATTCTAGTAAAGATCATCTTTTTATACAGTTTCTTTAATTTTTTTTTCAATCATAGGCTGTAACCTGAAGATCTTCAACAACCAGGAATTTGCTGCTCTTCTGGCTCAGTCTGTTAATCAGGGTTTTGAAGCCGTGTATCAGCTAACTAGAATGTGCACCATAAGAATGAGTTTTGTGAAAGGGTGGGGAGCAGAATACCGGTACGAAATACATATTCAGTTCTTATGTTTTCACAGTGCCATTGTTTTGTATTCCATTCTTAGCATCTTTTGGAGTTCACTTATATCTCTCTTCTTTGATGTAAAATAATGAACAACAAACAGTTGGCGATCACTAGATTCAGAACTATTGCACATGACTGTGCTGGCATTGTAGGAGATGTGAGCGATTGAAACAGGCACAGACACACGCCCTCACATTGCAGAGTGTTAAATGCCACGAAGAGTTATGTCAGTTCATGGAAAGAGACATTTTTGTTGGTGCTCAGGGAAGGCTTTCTAGTAGAGATGGCCCCTGATCTATGTTCCAAAAGATGTGTAGGATTTCCACAGTCACAGATGTGGGGGTAGGTGGGATGACAACTGATAATCCTTTCAGTAGTAGAGCAGTCCAGTTCAGAGTGTAGAAAGAAAAATGAGACTGGACAAACAAGTTGAGTCTGTAAAGTTAAGAAGTAGAGCTTTATTCAGGAGTAGAACAGGACTCAGTAATGTGCTAGGTACTGTGCTGTATTTCAGAGAGGCAGTATCTAAGTATCTGTCATCGGTTTTTTATAAGATTGAAATCCATAAAGTTGCTGTTTTTGTAGGTAATCAGTGGTTCAGATTGATAAATATTTGGAAGTAGGCTCAGAGAATTTTGATAATTGGCCCAAGGACATGGTGAGTGGTTGAGGTGGAACTGAAGAAGGCTCCCACTAAGAGTTGTAGCAATTACATAATTGAGTTTTACAAAACTGATTTGTCATCAGTGGATAGCGTAGACTAGGTTACTCCTAAATTAAACAGATTGAATTTCACATCAGAGGGAGGGAAGAGTTTTTATTAGCAATTAAAGGATAGAGCTTTGGTAAAGTACTTAGTCTTTTCCCAAATCATTGCTTGCTTTGCCTGCCTGTTTGGGACATGTTTATCTAGTATATGGCCATTGTATTCCTGCTTCATCCAGCAATTTGGACCTAGTTATATTGATAATTTATTTTGTGATTTTCCTGTAGTTCTCTTTTGTTTTGATCATTACCCTTTTGAGAGGCATTAGTACTTTGAGATGCTGAATGTCTTTTTTCTTTCGGACTTGAACTGTCCTGAGTTGATAGTTAAATTCAAATGGTACTATGTGATAATAAGCTTTCAGGTTATATATTTTTTGTTGTTGTTATTCAGAAGCTTATAATAATATAGAATGTGGTAGGAATTTCGTGGAACTAAGTGAGAGCCACCTAGGATGGGGAGAATTCCATGTGTACCTATAGGCTTTCTACTAAGAACAGTTTTAGTTAATGGAGAGAAGTAACTGCACATCTTCATTCACAGTGGACTCTGCCACTTGTTAACTCAGAAGTCAATAAAAATCTTAATTATAGAAGCAGCAAATGTTTGATATGTTTTTATGGCTGTTTAGAGCCAGGTACATTTGATTTGGTGTAACAAACTAGTTGCTTGCAACATTTACAAATCAGAATGTCAGATACCTATGTACCTGTGAACTGTGGGTAACTGCCAGGAGCTTCTGTCGCAGTGGAACTGAGGCAGTAGACCTATGATTAGGTTTTCAAAACTCATTCTTAGTTTCTTTAGTGCCAGCTTTATTGTATTAAATTTAGGAAATAGAGTAAACAGGGAATGTAGATGCATGAAGAATTTGTATTTGAGAAATATATCGGAGCTAAATGAATCAGTACTGGACTAAATAAACAAGGTAGGGGGATGGATAGTGCTTCCTGTGTAGGGGTGGCCTTCTTAAACTTACTCCCCTTTGGTGACCTGGCTTAAGAATTATCCCTGAAGGGGAGGGAAGGCAGCCAGTACCAGCCTTCTACCAAAGATGTTGGGGGCACTGGAGTTTATACCCTCAGGGAAACTCAGGGAAACTATAAATATCATACAGAATTATTCCATCCAGGAGGAAAGGAAATTTGACATTTAAATATCAGTTTCTATGTCCTTGGTTGAGAGTTGCTCCTAGGTCTGTTAATTTCCAGGCATTCATTTATTTGTTCATTCTTTTTTTTTAGTGGGGGGAAGGTTTGCCATAGGGTGTGTGTGCTCACAAGAGAGAGAGAAAGTGAGGCTTCCTGTGTAGGGGTGGCCTTCTTAAACTTACTCCCCTTTGGTGACCTGGCTTAAGAATTATCCCTGAAGGGGAGGGAAGGCAGCCAGTACCAGCCTTCTACCAAAGATGTTGGGGGCACTGGAGTTTATACCCTCAGGGAAACTCAGGGAAACTATAAATATCATACAGAATTATTCCATCCAGGAGGAAAGGAAATTTGACATTTAAATATCAGTTTCTATGTCCTTGGTTGAGAGTTGCTCCTAGGTCTGTTAATTTCCAGGCATTCATTTATTTGTTCATTCTTTTTTTTTAGTGGGGGGAAGGTTTGCCATAGGGTGTGTGTGCTCACAAGAGAGAGAGAAAGTGAGAAAGTGAGAAATTACCCCCTGGGGGGGATGATCAGAGCAATCCCTTCTCCATTCTCCTCTCAGTTATTCTCAAGCCTCAAGCCATGTGGGAGGCTGGTACTTTAGCCACCACCCACCTGCTGGCCCCCAGCACTTATAGCCTGCAGTACTCTAGGGAATAGCGGAGAAATCCTCAGGCACAAATATTCGCATACCTACAATTAGAAGTTGGCAAGAGCACACCAAAAAAATCTAAAGCATACAGCCAGGCACTGATAACCATCTGCTACAGAAAATCACTTTTTTGGAAATAACAGTTTTAAATTATACTGGGCATTTGTCTCTTAGTGATGAAGACTTGATAATGGGCTTTTGTCACATGTAAAGGGTTCCCATGTTAAAGAAGCAAACAGATTTGTTGACTTGTCCTATGTAAGACAGAACTAAAATCAATGTATGGAAAATACAGATGTCAGTGAGTAATTTGTGCTTCCTAGAGAATTAATGGAAATCCTAGAAGTGCTTATTAAAAGCCAGACTAATACTGCTGAAAGAGATGTTGGTTGCCTTTCCCCGGGAAAGTTGAATTCCAGCTTCTTAACATTCAATGGCAAGAATTTAGCTTTAGTGAAAATTCTGTTTTGTTTTGGTATGCTTTAAATTCGAACCCTATGCCATTTAGATTTAGTTTCATATATTCTTTGGTTAATTTAATAATTGTGGTGACCGTATGTCTTAGTTACTTGGGACATTCATGACTTGTATCTCTCCGTGGCCTCATAATAGCACCTATATTCTCTCTCAAAGGTATCCCTTTCTGGATGCTGGTAAATAATAAGGTCACCTTACTAATTTTAGTTTAGGGGGAAAAAAGGACTTTGTAAATCTCTTGGTTGGGGAGGGGCTTAAAAACTTTTTTACCCTTGGGTCAACCAACCACTTTTCAAAATAATAATCAGATCTTCAAAATTAACAATTGTCTAAAAGAAATTAAATTTTAGTATATACTACCTTTTAATTTCTCTAAATTCTTAATGTATCTACCTAAACATAACTATGTTGTCCTTTAATTTCATAGTTTTTTTTTTCTTCTTGTTTTGTTTTAAACAGAAGGCAGACAGTAACCAGTACCCCTTGTTGGATTGAACTTCACCTGAATGGACCTCTACAATGGTTGGACAAAGTATTAACTCAGATGGGATCCCCTTCAGTGCGTTGCTCGAGCATGTCATAAAGCTTCATCACCAATCAAGTCCCTTCAAAAGACTTAATGTAACAACTCTCCTGTCATAGTATTTGTGTGTGATCCCCATGGACTGTTGACTATCCAAAAATCAAGAGAGAAAACAGCACTTGCAGTCTCATCAATTAAAGCACCTTGTGGAATCTGTTTCCTATATTTGAATATTAGATGGGAAAATTAGTGTCTAGAAGTATCCTCCCATAAAGGAGGATGAGAAGATTTTAAAGACTTAATGATGTCTTGTTGGGCATAAAACTTGAGTGTCCCAAAGGTTTATTAATAACGTAGTAGTTACGTGTACAGGTAATGTATCATGATCCAGTACCACAGTATTGTGCTGTTTATATACATTTTTAGTTTGCATAAATGAGGTGTGTGTGTGCGCGCGCTGCTTCTTGATCTAGGCAAGCCTTTATAAAGTTATAGTACCTAATCTGCTTTCCCACTTTATTATTTTTGTGTCTTTTTTAATATATAATATATATATTAAGATTTTCAAATTATCATTTAGAAGCAGATTTTCCTTGTAGAAAAACTAATTTTTCTGCCTTTTACCAAAAATAAACTCTTGGGGGAAGAAAAGTGGATTAACTTTTGAAATCCTTGACCTTAATGTGTTCAGTGGGATTTAAACAGTCCTTCTTTTTGTGTTTGTTGATTTACTGCTAAATCTCATTATAAGGAGACCATAATGAAAATCTTTCCATGCCTCTTTGTTCTGTCCCCACTTTTGTCCTGATACCAAAACAGCGTAGTACGTCATTGCCGGTACTAGTTGCACTGTTAACTACTGGCACCAGGTAATTCTGGGGTGCAGTAAATGTTCATCTAGAGTATGTCTCCCTGTCCTACAAGCAATTTCATCAAAGAATAACTGACATGTGTAACCTAGCAGTCTATGGATTTATCTTTCCACCTCATTTAAAAATGCGTAGGTGGCAGTATGATTATTTTCAGGGATATGCTAGAGTTCCTTTGGTATATTTATCCTTTTTTTAAAAGCCAGTCTTTAACTATAAGTACCCTTTTTTAAAAGGTATTTTAAAATATTTCAACAGCACTCTTTCTGCTCTTTGATTTGCGTAGTTTCATTTGATTTAGTTTCCAGATTACTATGAAATGGACCTTTTGTAATTGTACTTGCTTCTGCAGAACAACTGGACAAGTGATGCTGAGGTATGATCAGCAGACAAGGGCCATCTCTTTTTAAACTATGTTGTATTCAATTTATAAATTGAATGTTATTTTACATAATTGTGAATTCAGAATTTTAAAAATTGGGGGAGAAGTCATACAGCAAGTTTTTTTAGCTTACAGTAACGCAGTCTGAGCTGTTATTAGCTAACCCTGAGTATGTGGTCGACCGTATTTTATGCTCTGCACTGAGGAGATGCCAGAAGCGCCATTGGTAGTCCATTCTGCAGCAAGTAATAATTATGTCTGATGTTGACTCATCGAGTTTTAAACATTTCCTCGTGTTTGCATTTCAGTAGAAATGGAAAATAACCTGACCCCATTTCGTAAATTTTCATACTTTTGAAGATAGATACCTTTGGTACTTGTTCTTTGAAACCATATTCCCCTGTGTCTACAGGTTTCATTTTCAATACCTTTAGCATTTGGTTGTTTTCTATTGAATACTCCCCATTTTCTTATATTTGTGTGTATATGTATGTGTTCTTGTAAATTTGGTATAGTAATTTTTTATTCATTCGATAAATATTTATTGTTCACCTGTTATGTGACAGGAACTTTCTTAGCCTTTGGTAAAGGTGAACAAGACAGCTATGGTCCCTGCCTTTGTATCTTGTCTGTGAAGGAAATAAACAGGGTACTGTGCTAGAGAATAACAGATGAGATGCTTTAGGTAGGACATAGAGGAAGGTCTCTCTAAGAAAGTGATGCTTGAACTAACAACACCTGATATAGAAGGAGCAAGCCATGTGACGAACTGGGGAGATCGATCAGCATTCCTGACGAAGAGAACAGAGAAGCATCAAAGACAAAGGCTCATGCTAAAGGAAACTCATCATTAGGTATTAATGCTTTATACAGAAACCTCTATACAAACCCACACTTGAAGATCAGAATGATTCTACAGTTTATAATATGTTGAAGGTGGCCTTATTTTGTGATAGACTGCTTCCTGTCCGTCTCACTAATATATCTTCTTCCTGAAAGCTTTGCTGCAAAATTTTTATTTGCATCAGATCAATACCACTTAATTTAACATCTCTTGCTTATGCAAATTTTCACCATTGTAGTGACCAGCTACTTGCTCATAGACTCCCTGCTGCCCACTAATTATGATTTCCACTGCCCATGTTGTGCTTAACATAAATGTTCCAGTTGTCACCACTATCAAGCCTGCTGGAGATAATCAGTAGACCCTCAGCCCTTCTAAGAAGTTTTTAACTCAAAAGCTTTCAGTAATGTTAGGGAACAGTTCTGGGGCAGAGAACAGCTGTGAGAGTGGTAGAAAGTCCTAGCAGTTGCACATTGATGTGTTAAGTGAAGCAGTGCTGAGTGGCATTTCCACAGTGGAGAATATCTCTACAATTCTGGTGGGTTTTTCTGTACAGTGTGAACTAGGACTTGACTCTGAAAACACTTGTTGTATTGAGCAGTTATACCTGTTGAACATTGGACTTCATCATGGCAGTGATTTCATTCATGCGAATATGTTTAATGATCACATTTTATTTTTAATGACATAGTTGAGGGGTTTCTTTGCATTATGTTTTCTCTACCGTGGCCCAATTTTTGTTAATTCCCCTCTCTTTCTTATAGGAGTGGTCTTCCTTCTTCTAAGTGATAGGGCTCTTTGAATTTTGTCTTCATTTAAATTTAGCAACACTATGTAGAAGGTATCTTCCACAGTACTGGCAATTTCCTCAGTTTAAAGGCGAAAGAACTGCATGATCATCTTTCCTATCACGTTTCTAGGATGATTGATGGTTTTCCCAGTGGATTCGACAAGACCCCTTGGAACTGGTTTGAGGGGCAGAGGCTGTGAAGTTCCCACTGACCTAGGTCTAACCAGAAGCAGTGTTAGTTTTTTGCTCTGTTGGAGTTCTACAGAAAAATTTGTTATTTTGGGGAAAAAAGTTTTCATTGCTTTAAAAAAATGAAAGTTCAAAAAGTCTTTGTAATTACAGGTTAAGATTTGAAAATATAACTGGATCTCAGCCAGCCTTTTGAAACAACACTGATTGTGCTTTTTTTCATCCTACTTTAAAGAAGCTTTCCTGATTAGGTTTAAACTACACCAGTTACATGGATTACCCATTACGGTAGACGTTCAGTTGATGAACGTTAACTGATGCCTATTGTTTACCCAGCCACTGTGATTGATCTTCAGTAATAAAATGATGACCGGCATATGGTCCTGACCCTCAAGCTATGCTCACACTTGGGGGATGACTTTCTGTCTTAGGATCTGCCACTTTGCCAGAAGGAAATCTACCTGATTTTTCTAGAAAGCTAAGTATTCTTATCCTAAGTATATATTTACAGATTGTTTACTGTCTAGTCATATTTTTACCTTAAACCATATCATTCTGCTTTATCAGATTCTCCTTTGTTAAAATAATTTAATTTCACTTTATTTGTGCCTTTATTTTCAGTTTCATGAGGACTAAGTCTCCAAAGGTGAAAAACAATCATTCTACTTTCCTGCTAGTTGAAATCAGATAAAAGAGAATATATATCCAGTTGGATTCTCTACCTCTTCCAAAAGCTGTCCATTTATATCCTTAAGATCAGTGGGGGATTTTTTTTTAATGACTAAGTAGTCGGAACATTTATTCGTTATTAGGCAACCTCCTGGTCTGAGGACAAGAGTTGATAGTGGGATATAAAGTAACACAGTACAATCTTCACTATTTATAATAGACAGTTTCTGCTTAGAAAGCTGAACATTCCTGCGTCCCAGTTTGCCCCCTCCATCCCATCCCTTTAGAGTCTCTTGATAGAACTCAGCAATCTGTGGACGTGAACAACAAATGGTTTTCTCGCACTCTGACTTAAGCATGGAAGTTTAGACATATCAGACTATTGCCCATCTTTAGTCCTTCATGTGTGTTACTGTGCTAAAGCCTTTATAACACCAACTAGGTTTTATCCTTCCTCCTTTCTGACAACATGTGTCTAAGTGGTACCTGTGGGTTGCCCTCCCCTGCCAACCATGTTTTCTCTGCATAATGTATGAGAATACTTCTCCCCTTTGAACTTCTCAGTTAACCAAAAAGGAGGTGCTCTTCATACCCAGAGCCCTAATTTCTTCACCGTTAATATTCATAGTGTTCAAATTGGTCACTCACGTCTCACAAATGACTCAAATTCTGTCTAGCAAAATGTCTTTGTGACTGACCAGTAGTATAAATTGTCAGACTCTATTTTAAATTGTTTAAGGTTATAAACTTCTCTGGCAGTTGCAGCCAGTGTTTTCTCTGTAAAAGCAGCTGTACTTTCATCTTGGGGCATAGCGGATTGTTGTATTTAATACATTCGGGAATAATGATTGTGTGTGGTCTCGAGGTAGTCAAAATTCTGCTAGTGAGTTCCTTTTATATCTTCCAAGTTTTCATGAATGGTTGTTCGGACTACCTTTTGTGTAAGGGGATGGAGGGGCAGATTATCTCTTTGGAGTAGAATTCTTGTGTTTTGAGCCTCACAATCAGGAAATATGAGCTATATTAGATAGCCTCATGCTAGCCTTTATGATAAGAGTTTGTCTTGTGTGTTCATGTAACTTCTTGAGTAGGGACTGTTTTATCTTGGATATTATAGCTAACTTTATATATAGCAGAACTGCCTCAGTCGTCTTAGTAGAATAATTTGTGTGTATGAATTCATATATACATATACACTCAGAAAAAAAACTAACCATTGGGGTCATTTTAACAGTGTTGAAGGCTTTTGTCATTCGATCTCAGATCTCAATAAGAACTTCTAAATTTGCTTATAGATACTTCCCTTTCATCAACTGACTCTCAGAGTAATTTTTTTTAAAAATTCTGCCACAGTCCTAATTTGACAGTTCCATTAGTATATCATTTTTAGGCAGCTTGACAACTTAAGAATCATAACAGAAATTCAAATCAAATCAAGATCTACCGTATACCCTTTGCTAAATTATTGTTCATCCTGTGGTCCCTGGAACCTAGTAATTCAGGACTAACATTTTAAAAAAATTATGTGTATTAGATTGTTCTCCCCTTTGTTACTTCCCCACTGGTGTTAAGATTGCTGCTTAAGATACCCTGGGAAATACCACTATATGGCCACATTTTCTTTTCTCTCTCTCTATAGCCTAAAAGTGGTTGAGATCTGACTTGCTTTGCTGTGCCCAACAGAATAGATTTCCCAAGGTTCTTTGGGCCATCCATGGCCTAAAGGGAATTTGGCCAGAGCATAATAACCTAAGCTAACTGTAGTATCAGAGTTGGATTGCTGCCGTGAGATCTGTAATGGACCCTACATTTCATCATTGCTTGAGATGGAAGGGTCTCTTGGGAAAATACCACTGATGATGCGGTTGGGAAAGATTCATTAACTCCACACAGAGGCTTTTAGATTTTTCTTCAAAAATTTTCAGGAAAAATAACTCTCTCCCACTTTATTAAAAAATTAAGAGCCCTTTTCCAAAATTTCCAGTTTACTTTTTTAGGTTGGGGATAGAAATTTACTTCTTACTTTTTAATAAAAGATGAGAACTTATTAGATAATGAAATCCATGATAATTTAAGAACAATAGTGAAATTTTAGAATGATAAAAGAATATTTAAGTGCTTTATGCACTTTCCATTTCACAATCAGCTGTTCCCCTTTCTCCCTGTGGCTTTAAAGTTTCCAGTTATTTTACAGTGTTAGTCACTAGGTAACTGACCATACTAAGTTCTGCCCTTTGTGGTGCTGTAGTGTAAAGTTGGTTCTCCGCATTTGTCTGTTGGAAAAGAAGGCTTAACGAAAGTCTGTTCTTCCAGTAAGGTTTTTCTTTCCTCAGTAAGCCCCAAAGAAAGTATGTTTGCCACTTAGTGTTCTCATTCTTGGACTCTTCAACCTGAAAAACAACTTAATGAGAAGGAATAGTGTCCTTTTCAGGTGAATGTATGTCCCTGCTTTAAGAATGCTGGTTTTTGCAAACAATACACACACACATTAAATGAGGAAAAATAATTACCACATATATAACAAATAAGTAACAATGCGTAGAGTTTAATTTTTTAAAAACCTTTCTTGACAAAAGAGCCTAAATTAGTCATTTGTTAGCCTTTACCTCAATCTTCATGTTTGCTTTTATTTGACTCTGACTTTTAAGGCATAAATATTTGTATCTTTTTATTAAGATAATGAAGCTATGACACAAGATTTTTATATGAGAGTATAAAGCAAAAAAAAAACTGTAGAGATTAAGAAGAAAATATTTCTATAATTGTTGAACTAGATCACAACATTGTAGACAAAAATTAAAACGAATAAAAAGAATATTCTTTCTTACCATCTTTTCCCAAGACCAGACTTGTGGAGCAGAGTTAAAAGTAACAGAATTCTGGGCCTTCGAAATTTGAGGGAGATATCTTCAGTTGGCAGTCTTTTTCATATATGAAGCAAAAATGTGGGAAATAGTTGGCAGAGAATGTTTCTCACCTAAAAAAAGAATATGAAAAGACATTCAAAACTGGATTCTTCATTTGGCTCTCAAAATCTTAAGGTACGGTAAAATACCATGTAACTGGACAAAGCCAGTAAAACCTTCAGAAGATTTATCTGAAAAACATGATTCAAGAATGAATTTTTATGTACTGCCCACTAATCTGATTGATTACTAGCAACTCTTCTTAAGTGACACTGTAAGTATTGCTGGATTTCCTGCCTTGTAGCAAATTTAGAGGAACTAGCCATGAGCAAGTGACCTAAGAATATTTGGGGGTGCTGATGCCCTTAAATGAGGCTTTTTGCTGCTGAAAGTTTTCATCTTTTCTCTAGGGATACTGGCGGTAGATGAGTGGTGTCCTTAGGGTGACAACTACCCTGTGTGCTTCAGACTGAGGGGTTCCCTTGAAGCACACTTCTCATTCTGAACTCAAGCAAGACTCACCCAGGGGGAATTGGCCACCTTAGGTGCCCTTGTGACTAACCCTCACTCCCTCACATTGTAGTAGTTGCAGTGAAGTTCAGCAGCCTTCTGGGTGTCACCATTTTCGGTACTTACTGGGATATATGGCATCCAGTCCCTGTGGATGGAACATGAGACTTACACCAAGCAGAGGCACTAACATGGAGGTGAGACTGACAGACTGATCCAGCATACCAAGGTAACTGGTGGTACCGAAGAGGCAACTAGATAGCTGAGTTCTTCAGAACGGGTGAGGATATGTAAGTACAGATCATGTGTCTTTAGGTTAAATACAACCCAAAATGTAAATGTTCACAGTAAAATAAAACAGTGGTTTCAGATCTCTTTTCTTGGGAGGGAAAATACAGCCTTTGTGATGTTCTGGCCCCTTCTCCATTTCCCAGTCTGTCCTGCTCAAGAAGCCAGAATGTGGTATTATTACATGTCTTTCTGATGAATGTCATATTGAAATTATTAAATACATCAGCCAATGGCAGGTAAAGGACTGGGTGTCCTGCTGCAGAGCGGCTGCCCTGTTTCTAAGCACCACCTCCTCCCAAGGTGCTTACCAGCTAGAACACAAACACGTAAGGTGGGCTTTTTCTAACATGGCATTAACTTTGTAATGCAATATGATGGATGCAGATGCCTCCCGTTCCCCTCTGGTAGTCCTCAGTGGCTGCATCCTTTGCGCACTGTGATGGAGATATTAAATGTGTTCTTTGTAACCTTTCATCCTATGATCGTCGAAAGTATGATGTGGTTCCTGTTTGTTTTTTATTTTTTAATTATTAAACACCGAACTGAGGCTTTATTACAGCTGGTTTTCAAGTTAAAATTGTGAAATACTGATTTCCTCTCCCCACCCACACCAAATATTTTAGTCTATTTAAAGTACAAAAAAATAGTTCTGCTTAAGAAAACATTGCTTAAGTGTCCTGTGATTTCTGGTCAATTTTTATATATATTTGTGTGCATCTGTATGTGCTTTCACTTTTTACCTTGTTTGCTCTCTACCTGTGTTAACTGTCACCATTGAAAGGTGGACAACTTTCCTAGCATTAAAAAAAAAGCCATTTGACTTGTTTACTATGTTATTATGGGACTAGTTTTTAATTGTCTAATAGGTTTTGATTTAATCTTTGTTAAAGGGGATTACATTTTGGTATCCATTCCCTAAACTACATGGAAACAAAAATGTTCGTTGTACATGTTTCATATAAGGAAGTATGATCTTAAGAGTACATCTTTTTATTTTTTTTTAAGTTGATGTCATATAAAAAAGACTACCCACCCCATTGGCAGGTAGTAGGCCCTGTGTAATGACCTCACACATACACAGAGACTATACACTGCAGGCACAGTGCTAGTTTGTGCACTTCAGAGCTCACCTCTGTCACATGTGTGACCTAATCCTGGATTTCTATGCTGTAAACAAAAACAAAAGGTGAAACTCAAGGGTACTCTCAAAGTATACGGTTAACAAAAACACTTTCTTTTTTTTTTTTTCTTTCTTTAGGTTTTGCACCATAGGGTGTATACGCTTGCCAGAGAGGAGAAAGTGAGAAATCACTCCCTGGGGGATTGGCTATGCCACAATCCATTCTCCATTCTCTTGGGATGTGGGACACACATGCACATATGCCACGTGTGATTTTTAAGCCTGCAAGGTCCAGGACCCAAACCATGGTCAACCATGTGGAAGTCATTGCCTTAGCCACTACACCACCCGCTGGGTTGAACAAATATTATTTTTTAAAGGCATATTTGAAATATACCAGGTAAGACATAATCTCTTAAGTAGTTAGGTCATTGTTATGAAAAATTGTAAAACTTGAGAAATGTTTTAGGTGAGTCGGACTTTACCTTGTAAGAGCCCAGTTGTGTGGATCAGTCTTTTTTTTCCTGGTGAGCAGACTGCTGGCGTTAGGTCACGGTAAAGCAACATGTGTTAGGACGAAACATGCCTCAGAAGCAGCAGGGTACTACCCTAGTTGGCACTGAACAGCCCAAAAACTAGCATAGTTTCATCAGTTGTTTCGTTGGAAAAAAATGTAAACGTTTACACTGCTACAGCATATGAGGGGGCTTCAAAAAATTGGTGGAAAAATACAAAGCTTATTTTGGTGTGAAATTTTGGAATCCATACACACTTCTTTCTTTCATAATACACACTTTCCATGAACTTGTTGAAGACACCATCAGACAGCTGTATGAGTCCAGAAGGAACCTTGTGTGTTGAACTGTAGCATCCCTTCAATTGACCAATGACTGCGGAAAATCCTTGATTGTCGCCTCACCCTGGGAACACTTCTACTGAATGACTGCTGTTATGACAATGGTTATCTGCACCAGGAGCTGTTTATAGTGGCCCTAATGTCTGTGATTCCACATAGTCATCAAGTGAAGAGTAGGGAAATGTTAAGGTCTATGGGCTCTCCTCATACTTGGCATACTCTTTTTCTTCCCTTTAATTCAAAATTTGAAAGCCCCATAGTGCAGGAAGCAGGCACATTATGTCAAGTTGATGTAATCCCATGCATTCATTCTGAGCACAGGATATGTCCAAGAGCTAGGGTAAAGCTGTTCGTTCATTATGCAAGAACGTGTATTACACAAGCAGTCTGTAACCGTTTTGATACCAGGAAAGACAATTTTTCCGTAGGACAGGGGGAGGGGGATGGTTTCAAGATGATTCAAATGCATTACACTTACTGTGTGCTGTATTTCTATTATTACATTGTAATATATAATGAAGTAATCATACTACTCATCATAATGGCAGTATTTGCAACTGCTCCCCGGTACTAACATCACCACCTCCGCTTCACCTCAGATCATCAGGCATTAGATTCTCATAAAGGCACACAGCCTAGATCCCTCCCATACACAGTTCATGATAGGGTTTTCAGTCCTATGAGAATCTGATGCTGCTACTGACCTGACAGGTGGTGGAGCTCAGGTGGTAATGTGAGCAGTGGGGAGCAGCTGTAAATAAAGATGAAGCTTTGCTCATCTGCCTGCTGCTCACACCCTGCTATGTGGCCTGGTTCTTAACAGACCACGGATTGGTCCATGACCCAGGAGTTGGGGACCCCTGTATTATGCCAGGCAGTTATCCATTTTGACAGATACATTCTTTTTTTTTAGCAATTTTTTTTTTTTTTTGGAGAGATTTTCACTGTAAGGTGCGTGCGCTTGCCAGACAGAGAGAGACATAGAGACAGAAAGCGAGAAATCACCCCCCAGGGGGGATGGTCACGCCGCAATCCCTTCTCCTCCATTCTCCTCTCGGGATCTTGGGCACGCACGCACATGCGCCCGGCGTGAATTTTAAGCCACCGGGTCCGGGACACGAGCCGCGGTCTACTACGTGGGAGTCCAGCGACATAGCCATTACGTTAACTGCTGGTTCCCCAGATGCATTCTTTTTTATCGAAATACACAATGCCAACCTGAAAGAAGTTCTCAAATGTAAGAATCCAACAGAAACAAAGCCAGTTTCATAACAAAAACTGTCTTCTGCAATGGATACAGAGATATTTGTAGAATTATTTTAACTGATGATTATGTAAAACAAATGTCATGCTAGTAAGCCTTATGATACCAGCCACGTTAATAGAAGGCGATAATATTGAATCAAGTTCAGTAATAAGTCAGCCTTAGACTCAGCATGCTCTTGAGAAAGCTACGAGAGAATAGAATGTGTTACTGTGCCCTAGTGCAAGCCACATGTCCTTACTGGTTATAGACTGAGCGACTTTGACAGAGGAATTCACCAGTTCCCGCAATTTATTTTCAGTAGTTTTTCTGGCTCCCTCCACACCTTTTTTAAAGTTGGGTGGTAGTAAGATTAACTTTTGAAGTAGTTTAGAAAAGAGATGTATGTGATCCCAGAGGAAAAATGTGCTCCTAAAGAATGGTTCAGATGATGGACAAAATACAGTGTTCAAGGATGCATTTGATTTGGAGAGATGGAGAGGACTTAAGCAGGCTAAAATGAGGTCTTGGAACAGAATTCTTATTGGTGAGTTTGTGCATGAAAACTAGACAGTACTGAGCTACCATTGCATATGGTGAGCAGGAAATTGACAACCACAGCTGAGTAGTGTCTGTTAAACCCATATTAATGATAGGACCAAGATAGCAAAGAGGTAAAAACCATAGGTAGCTGTCTGTATAGTTTGGATTTCATAATCTACAGTGAGATTTCACTGTCAGTCTGGTGCATTGGTTGTGAACATACCATAACCCAGACAGGGTGGGCTGCATCATTTGGGAATAGGGGAGCTGCTGCATGTTACACCAGTGTCCTGTGTACGTGTGTATATGGATAAGTGACAGTTTTTTTAAGTTTATATTTTCCATGAAAGAGAGAGATCCCCCAACAGGATCTTGCCATGTGGCTATCCTCCTCCCATCCCCCAGTAACAGGTGCATCCACGAGTGCTTCCAGAGTGTTCAACTCACCTGGGGATCCAAACTCTGGACCTTCCTATATGTCTCTCGTATTGCACAGCAGTGCCTAGCTGCCTGCACCACCATGGCTAGGCCTGAAATATATTTTTTTTTTGCTCACAGCTAAACAGTGTTAATCCCCCTACATGTTGGCAGAGTTTTATGTCTGGATTTTCCTGGTAAGTATCAAATCAGAGATCTTGACCACTGCCCAATAGTAGGTCTCCATTGGAACCACCCCACCTTGAACTTAAGCTGAAAATTCATTTACTCCGATTTGAAATCCTGCTAACCAAGATATTTTTTTTATAAGCAATCCTATCTCTAAACTATTGGGTAGTCAGAAAAATCATGACATATTTTTCTATGCAAAAAATGCATCATGACTTCCAATGACCCAAGACATTGACTTGTTATTGGCAGTATTTGATCAAATTACTTCAAATATAAGTGATCTGTAAATAACAGTTTAAATACAAATGATGACCTACATTTAAATGGTTGATTATGATTTAAAAGTATATTTGGACTGCACTGGTTAAAAATAAGTAAATGAAGCCTAGTTTACCATCTGGAATAAAAGTATTTTATAGGGATGTCTGGGTGACCTTTTATATTGAAAAAACAGATTAGTGGCTTTGTTTTACCCAAGAACCACAAGCTACTCCATACCAACTTTTAAATCAAGATCTTGAATAATAGCATGTAGTATCACATTTTAAAAACTTACTTAGTCAATCACAAACACATTTTCTAAGAAATTGAATTTTATGGAGATAATTGAATGCTTTCATCTGTAGCAGAATTAGTGGCCTGCAAACTACTGTGGTTTCTTAACTGTGCTCTGAAGTTGTTAGAGGGTTTTTTTTTTTTTTGCTACAAGTTACACGCATAAAGAAAATAAGAGGCAAAAGAGTGGACTAGCCTGGCACAGCGGTAATGCAAAGCTCTGTGGGACTAGAACCACATGGGAAGGTCACAGGCTCTAGTCCCAAGGTTACTCTATACCCACCAAGTGTGTGTGCCTGTGATTGAGACTGGCTGAAACTGGGGGTGAATCCCAGCATGGAAACCCTGTTGGGGATGCCTTTTTATCTCAGAAGAAATAAGTAAATTACAAAAAAAAATAATAATAATAAAGGTAAAGGAAAACTCAGCATTTTAATTCTAAATTGAAAAACATTGGGGCTAGCAGCTAGTGTGGTGGTCGGGTTGCTGAACTTCCACATGGCGCACCGTGATTCAAGGCTTGGACCTGGCAGCTTACTTGCTTTCTCTCTGGTGAGTGTGCATGCCCTATAGCAAACTTTTTAAAAAGAATAAAAATAGGGACCAGCAGTTAACATAATGGCTATGTTGGTGGACTCCCACGTAGTCAACCACAGTTTGAGTCCTGAATTCCGTGGCTTAAACTGACACCTGGCATGTGTGCGTGCATGTTCAAGATCCCTAGAGGATAATGGAGGAGGAGGGATTGTGGCATGGCCATACCCCCTGGGGGGTGATAAGAACCAAAATTACCAAAGGGAGCAATGTCTTAAGAATCTGTTTTGTTTATATTCAAAAGATCACATTTGAAAATGGGTGCATATTTTGTGTATTCACTATCCCTGATTTAAATCTTATGACCAGAATTGTT